AAATATTTCACATGTGAATACCATTTTCTTTTCTTTTTTCCTTTTTATTAAATTTTTTTTTATTACAAATAAAATTTTTATTCGATATTTTGTATGTCACATTCATGTCTGTCTTAAATGTCTTTTCTTATTAGGTTTTTAGTTATGAATTTTCGGAATATTGAAACAGAAGTTATTATGTTAGTTTCAGATTAATTAAAGAATTCCGAATATATGTAATCATATATTACAAATTTTTGGGCGTGTATATAGATAGATAGATAGATAGATAGATAGATAGATAGATAGATAGATAGATAGATAGAATTTTGTGGGTGGGCATGCGTGTAGGTTTATGTGTTAATATTAATTTGGACACGTGACAATTACATTCTTCTTATATAAATTATTAATACTGACATTACAAACAAAAGTAAATACTCGTCTAAATTCGGTTTCATTTACAAAATTTTCGTTTATAAAATTTTTTATACAAACCTTTTTTATTTATTGCTATTTCCTTGTTTTTTTTTTCTGTGAGATTTTTTTTTTTTAATTTTCTCGAAACCGAAACTCATTTTTAAGTTTAAGAATCCTATTTTTAAAAGATTTTTGTTTTTCTCCTGGTCTCTTCGATTCTGATCACTGATTTTAACCGCTTTCATGTCTTTTTTTATCGATCATGCATCTCGTTTGCCACTGCTACAAATGTTCTGACGTGGATCCACGAATGAGAATGGAAATTAAATTTTTATAAGGGCTGGTGCTGAAAAGTTCTCGGTTCGATTAGGAAACATTCGGAAAGAATTTTCTTTGATTTATGGAAATGGGCCGAGAACTTTTCAGCAGTACGTCGTAATATTCATGATGACTATTTTTACAAGGATGTTTTTCAGGGTTGATATAATCTCTGAAGATATTTTAAATGAAAATATTATTTTTAATAGGTTCGTATTAATGTTTATGGTGCTAGAAGGCTAAAGTAGTTGCTTACTCTATTTTACAATGATGTTCACTCTGTACAAGGCCCAAGAACCACCCAAGGTAGAGAGTTACAGAGTAAGAGGCACCAGTTCAAGGTTGATAGTGCCACCAAGACTCAAGAGGACCACCGGAAGTGAAAGAGAAAGTAAATACTTTAAAGAAGCAGAAACGCAATCCTAAAAGGGAAACTCCTGTTCAAAAGACCGGGGAAGATACGAGAATCTATCTATTGCTATTGGAATCGAAAAGGACACTTATACTTACAATCAGAAATGATGTCTGAAATTTCTAGGACACACAATGAGGAAAGAGGATTTAGCGAATTTGACACTCACAGGACATACTGAAAGCAAGAGTTGCCGAGAGAAACAGCTAGTAACTTCCCTCATGAGCTTGTGTAAATGGATGACAAAACAGAAAGTGAAGGGGATAGTAAAATATAAACATGGCTAAGATCTATAAATGATTGGAAATTGTGGAGATCCATAATCGCCCACGTCTTGAGCAGAAACGGCACATAGAAGAAGAACTATAGTTCAAAAAAAAACTATGGGTATCGGAGATAGGAAGATTGTGTCACGCCAATCTTTCAAACAGGGAAAGTGTGTCTCTCTAGAAAATCAGCATTTGAAATTTTAGCTTTATTACTTCGATTTAAACACTTCTGGTGTAAATGGGAAAATGCAACTACTTCGACCACGAAGTAAGGCAAGTTTGACATAAAGTTATTTTTGCAGGTATTTCAATGACTACTCACCAATAATTACCTGGCGAACAGCCAGGGTAATCGTACGCGCTGTCGTACGATTACCGAAGTTAAGCAACGTCGAGCTTGGGCAGACTCTAGATTTTTTTTAATCGAGTTCACCCCAAGCAAAGCCGTAAAGCCACTAAGACTCAAGTAGCGAGAACAATAGAAGAGTAATCAGGAAGATAATTGATAGCGATTATCATTGCATTTAATTTTTTGAAGATCAGATTTGACTGGAAAGCCGGAAGGAAGTTCCATAGGCGAGAATTGTGAGAAAAGAAACTGTTAACATAAAATTTAGTTACATCTTACCAACTGATGACAGCTGTAGTACTGTGCTTAAATTCATAAAGTCATAAGGTACCATAGCGAAATGCTCATCCGAACAATTACCATGAACATATTTATAGAAAAGGTACATAGACGCAACATTACTGTGGTTGGAAAGTAACTGAAGAGATACGCCAGGTCAGGACCAATAATATTGTTGATTCTTCTTTGAATATTATCAAGAGCAGGAACACCGACCACATGTGGTAGCAATATTCTAAGCATTGGTGAATGATGGACTTATAGGTATGTAAGATAGATTCGGGAGAGAAAACCTGTCTAGCACGACACAGTGAACCAACTTTTTTAGCCCCTGACTTAGCAATGGATTCAATATAGCATTTCCACTTCATGTCAGCCGAGGATGTTAGCCTGAGAAGGCGCAATGAGTCACTCTCATGGAAGTTAGCATCAACCAGACTGATGGAAAGTATAAAATGGGTCACCTGGATGATTATATCTAAAAGTTACCACAGGTCGATATTCGCGTGAAGGTTAATCGAACGCAGTCACCACTGCAGTACCCCAACAGAAACCTACAATGACGGATATATAAATTAAATAACATCGCGACACAAATTCTTAACTTTCGAATTTTAAACGGATTTTTTTTCTGAAACAATTGAACAATTTAATCATTGGGGATTATCAAATTAATGATTTAATTTTATTTGATCGAGAAAACAAGTTTATTTCATGTCATGACAAACTGAAAATACATCACAGAAAACTAATTGATAATTTTCGATGACAACAAGGGAAAATGTCCATATATATATATATATATATATATATATATATATATATATATATATTATAAATTTAATTTATTTACATTATTTATCGTGGAAAATGCTTAATATCGAATATTTTATCAATACATTTTTAGATATAGACAGAATGGATAGAGGAAACAACACTGCTTAGGATGAAGATTGGAAGAAAGTGTGTTAAGTTCTGACTTATGTAGATTCTCTCTCTCTCTCTCTCTCTCCTTCTCTCTCTCTCTTTCTCTCTTTTGTATTTTTGATACACCCTATATACACACACACACATATTACTTGCATTACATTATTCGGGCTGTTATCCTCATTTCCATTGCCATATTTACAATGTTTCAGCCGTTGTACCCTTCGGCCTTCTTAAGCTGATTGGAATTTCGAACCGAACACATTATTTTATCCCCGGGATAGATTACTCTAGTTCGTTCCACGTGCCATGTCTCTTCCCGATGTCTTAGATATTTCCCTTTAACTCAACTCTTCAACTTTTGATTCACCACTGCTGTGGCCTCAAGGATACATGGCCCAGTGGATAAAGACTTAGGCTAGATCCAGTGACTAGACCGAAAGAGTTGTGAGTTCAATACAAAACCATGTCAATATAAAAGTGAATGTTGAAGTCAACACCCAGTGTCGACAGTCTATTTCAATGTCGACACACACATATATATATATATATATATATATATATATATAAACTAAAATTATCCTAAGGAGGCAGGCAAACCTATCTTGGTTTCACCTAAATGGATCTTCAGGGTAAAACTGGTTAAAAAGGCAAATAATGGAACAATATTTATTAATAAAAACAAATAAGACCATGACCACGTGACAAAAAAAATCCCCAAAAAACCTACATGTTACTCTTAATAACCAGCTTTTCTTATGTCGGCACCTACTAAGAATTTCTGATCTAACCGAGTTTTTTTCAAAATATATATATATAGTATCACCATATATATATATATATATATATATATATATATATATAAAAAACCGATTGTTATTCAGAGTTGTCCGACCAGAGAACGGTTGTAATAAAAAGTGCTCTATACACAATTCCCAAAAATTGAACGTGCAGATAAAAAATTAGGAATCACTTACACACCCGCTACCATATCGTCAGTTTTCAAAGAGCTTTGTTGATATTCCACCTGAATAGGTTGAGATAATCTTGCATTGTCGTAAATCATTGTTGTTCCAGAATGGCGAAGCATAGATTGAGAAATCAAGAAAAGGGGCATTTGATATCCCACAATATCCGTTCGGCGGTACTGCGGTTTCGGAATTAATGGGCCTGTACATTTTAAATAAGATCAACGAAATAGTCGACATAGATGGCCACGGACTGTGTAGGGACGGCGGGCTGATGGTGGTGCCGGACAATAGAAGAGTAAACGACAGAATTAGAAAACCATTTTTCAAACTCCTCGAGAACCTTGAATTTGAAATTGAGGTCGATATGAATAAAAAAAGTTCAATATTTGTATGTTGAATTTAATCTGTAAACCAGCAGAGCCTCGCCTTACTTAAAACCCAACACAAAATTGAGGTATGTGAATGCTAGATCCCACCACCATGCGAGTGGAATCAAGAACACCCCTAAAGGAATATTGTGCATAATAAACAGAAAATCCTCTTGTAGAACCATTTTTGAAGAAAAAAAATAGTTATCAAAAAAGCGTAGAGAAGAGGGACGTAAAACTAAATTGGAATTCAGATCCCAAATAAATCAACAAATGAGGAATGAAAGTAGAAATAGAAACATTATTTGGTTTAATTTAGAGCTGAAATCTAACATACGTAAGATACATTTTCAAGTTGCTTGATAAGCACTTCACTAAGAGTTCTGTGTTATACAAGATGTTTAATAGAAACACAATAAAATTAAGTTACCGCTGTACTAGCAATTTGGGTACTACA